TTGACTTTTTTCTTTATTAGTTTTGTTTGATTTTTATTTTGAAATAATTTTTCGAGTTAATTTTAATTTGTTTAAGCAATAGATTTTTCACTTAGAAACGAACGTGTTTGCTTTTGAGACGAACATTCAGATTTTTGGTCGACCGTTGCCTTTTTTTTGAACATTCAGATTTTTGGTCGACCGTTGCCTTTTTTTTGAACATTCAGACGCACGTGTAACATACTAAGAAAGTTTCAAAGTAAAAGAAAATCTAAATCAATCTATTGGTTCCCAAACTGCCATTCAAACCCTTCGCCCCCAACAATATCACTCTTCGCCACCCTTGCCGCCCCACCGTCGACCAGTGTCATCAGTCTCCCTCTTGCAACAATTTAATAGAGTACGTACAAACATAAAAAAAGAGAGGAAAAAATGGAAAACAAAAAAGTACCGAAAAACGAGAAACTGATGGCAAGGGCCAACGACGATGATGGACGGTGATAGAGAGCGGACAACGATAGTGAGACGAGGGGTTTGAATTTTGTAGGGAATGGGAACGATATAAGGATTTTTTGAACCTTTTTCTATCAGTATAACAAAAGTGCTTACAGTAAACCATAAGGGTGGGTGGTGCCTGATTGGTTTGAGTTTGAGTTTCAAAGGTCAAATATGTTTGGAGGTCCCAGGTTCAAATCCAAGGAGGAATAAAAATCCTCTTGTGGCCACGGAGGTTTAAATGCGGTGACAACAAGCTACCCACAAAATAGGTGGTCACTCTAAAATAAATCGACTCGTATAACGAATTGGATATCCAGATTAATAAAAAAAAAGTAAAAGTATGAAACAATTTATCTTTCTATTATTTAACACGTCAATAATGATTTCATAAATAATATATAAATATAAAATAAAAATCCACACATATTATAATGACAAGAGGATATATAAATATATATATATATATATATATATATATATATATATTTGTATGTATATATGTGTGTGCATATTGGACCTCACCCACCATTCATCTCCACCCACCCATCCACCATGTTGTTGTTACGTGCATAACCACAATGGTTGGACACAAGAACATCAACATTACATCCATCCAAAAGGTGCACATTAAACACCTCCAACAATCATGAAAATATATTATTCATTTTAGGACCAAATGTATAAGCAATTCTGGGTAAAAGTTAATTACCGATAATTTTAATCAGTTTTATATGGAACCCATTTTCAAGAACAATAATGTGATGAGACATTTTTTTTCTCTCACTTTATGATGGAGGCTAACCTGGGTAGGCATGGCAATCGGTCGGGAAATGTAATCCCCGGCTCCGGTCCTCGGCGGGTGCGGGGAATCGAATCCCCTCCATGTTTTTTGTTGGGTCTATCCTCAGTGCATCCTGATTTATCCCGGTCAATCCCTGATTCACCAATAAATGGTTGAAAAAATAATATATTATATAACACATATAAAAAATATGATTTTAATATATATATATATACATACATACACACACATACATATGAGAAACGGGTGGTTTGGGAAATACATTACCCAGCCCTGGTTTTCCACATGTCAGGGATCCTTGCCTCGTACTCGGTGCCTGTTTTTACGAGAATCAGTGGCCCCAAACGGGCAGGTGAATTGGGTTTCCCAACGGGTAGGGCAAATCACCATTGCCTAAACCCTCTGCCTGCCCCGGGGGGGGGGGGGGGGTTGAACTCGAGACCTGTCTTGTATTTAGACAAAGTTACCTCATTCTTTTACCAACTGACCAACACGCCAGAGGCAAAATGTAATTAAATTTATAAATCAACTTATTCAATGTAATTATCAGTATTTTTTTTTGTACTTAGTGTAGCAAACGTTTAATTCTTTTTATTCTGTAACATTTTATCTCATAAATTAGTTTATACACGACATTGGACGATTTTGATGTAGCATTTTTCAACGTAATCAAGAATATGAAAATAACTTCACGTATACGTCATAATCAATAGTTACAAGATCTATTAGTTACCAGTTAAAACATCCACAAAACTGGAACAGTTAAACTTCTGTTACACTAACTGAGAAATACAATTAACAGTTATTTTAAATATAAATCAAGACAAATTCTGATGAAATCTAAATCATTTTCGACCTTCGATTTAGGTACAAGTACCTAACGTCATTTATTGCTGCAAGACTCGACATCAGATATAATCTATGGTTTTGTGACGAGTGTAATGAAAAGTCAAGGTTAACAATCATGATGGTATTGAATAAAATGAGTGGTATCTTTCATCATCAAACAACACTATCCTTTTCATCCAACACACCATCACACTTTATAACAATGGCCTACAACACCAATTCTAGAAAGAAAAGTCCACTTTATAAAGTTCCATAACTTCTATGTTGGAAGCAAATCCAAGTGAACTTATGATTATTGCCACAAAGATGATGATGATGTATGTAAAATAACTGGGGTTGTGGCATACTGGTTAAAATGCAGGTAATGCAATGGAAATTTCGTCGTTTTTATGTTTGAATTCAGACGCTGTTAAAGTTTTTGGGGGACATGTAAGTTTATCTGTGGTGACCTGTTGATTAGTGTGTGTATGTAAGCTCGCCCAGATACATATGGTTAATAAAAACAGGTAATGATATGTAGAGGGTGTTTCAAATACAACTTGTATCATTCGTACAATCTATACAACTCAATTTGAACCGTCCATCTACTCTATCAAATATCTTGCTTCATAAATGTTTTGATTATTTTCTAATATAAAGTGTTGATCATAATTAATGAACTATAATTATCTTACATAAATATTCAAATCATAATAAATGAATCATAATTATTTTACATAAATATTCAAATCATAATAAATGAACCTCTATTATTTATGTGATTATTTCAATTGATTGGGTTGTATGAACTGTATGAATGAGATGTTTTATATAATAAAGCACCTTTATGTATGTATGTATGTATGTCTTGTTAGTCATGAGTCGTTAAATTGGTTTGATGGTTGTTGGTTTGAATTATGAATGGTTCGATTTCTTACCTGCATTTTTAATGCGATCCTTGAACTCAAAATAACTGGTTTAAAGAGTAGAGTTAAAAGGAAATGTTGGTTGGATAAAATCTGTTTCCTTTTCCTTTTCAGAAATTCAAGATCAGATGTTTTGAAAGTAAATTTGTTGAGACTACTTATTATATAACTCTAAGATCGATCATAATAAGGCCAACACGATTAATGTAGAGCTTATATTATATTTGCATACTAAAAACGGTCCATACGTCACATAAATTTATTTCACTATGACGTATTTAACATGGTATTTTGGGATACAACATATTCAAGACTAAGGATGTTGATTTGTCTAGACCCGGTGGGGAACCCGGCTCACCCAATATGAACGGGAATTCCCCGCTAAAACAAGTCCCCTGGTCGAGGATCCCCGGTAGACTCAAACCGGAACCGGGGGCTATTAGTCAAACCGCAGTTGGGTCCGAGGCTGGGATCTCTGGTAGTCTCAAACTAACGGATATTCTTCATTGGGTTTGACCGGGGTCTGACCAGGAACAGATGTTAATCCCCGTACCCGCCGGGGACCAGGGTCGAGGCTGGAGGCTGTTATTAAAAACCAGAGTCGGGGATTACAAAAGCCATGCCTATTCAAGACAAAATATCATTCAAGCTTGTTACAGACTTTTAAGTAGGATATTCTTAGTATGTTTAGTTAAATGAAATACATTGTTTACAGGTAATTGATGTGGAACTCACAAAAATGAGTACCCCGTGCAGTAAACAAAGAATGAATATTGAATGTGTTTATCAATTAATTCTATGAAGTTTGAAAATATAGAATTTTATATAAGTCGTATGCATGTAATAATAAATTATAAAATTAAATTTTAAGAAATATTTAAATATGAATATGAAGAAAATTGAGGGAATTACGGATTTAGTCCTTGTAGTTGGAGGGTCGTTACAAATTAGTCTCTAGACTTCATTTATCATAGAATAGGACTTGTCTTTTTCACTTTTTTTTTTGAATTAGTCCCTCATCCTAACAACCGTTAACGTCCTCCAATAAATTAGAGGGTAATATGGTAATTTCCCTATTCTCTCTTTTTTAACATATTTCATTTGCTTTTCTTATTCGAATATTTATCTACTCCCTCTAACCATGCAATATCTAGAGGGAGAAGATGAATACTCGAAAAAAATAATAAATTAAAAACTTGAAAATAGAGAAAAAGGGAAAAAAGACCATCTTGCCCTCTGATTTAACAGATGACGTAAATGGTAGTTAGAATAAAAGAACAAAAATGCCCCCTATTTAACGGAATCTTTTTAATGATCGTTAGAAAAAGAGACCAAATTCCGGTATTTTACAAATTACAATAGACATCTTGTAATTTCAAGATTGCATAGACGAAAAATGGTTCTTTAGTTTATTCCAAACCATCATGAACCAAATTTGTAGTTTACTCAAAACTCAAAAGTAAAAAAAAAAAAAAAAAAAAAAGGCAAATTGTATGAAAAAATAATGTACTTTAACTTGATTCTTATTTTGAATAACGTAATTTCAGAATTTTCATTTTAGTACCTAAAATGTAAAATCTTAAACATTTAGGTAACCGGTTGAAGCATAACCGGTTATCATGCTGATGTGCCGAGTAATGTGGTATCCAACTCAGTATTATTTGCTGGCGTGGTTGGTAACATGATCTTTTTTAATCTAAAATTAGAATTCAACCGGTTATCCGAGTATTTAAATGTCTAAAACTTTACATATTATGTACTAAAATGAAAAATTTAAAAGTACGTTACCCAAAATAAAAATCAAGTTAAAGTACGTTACTTTTTTATGCAATTCGTCAAAAAAAAAATCTAGAAAATGCTTCGTTTCAATTTCAACGTCAAGTATAGAGCCCAAAATCCAGCATTAGAAAAAGCCCATTTTCCAGGAGCCCAAAAAGCAGAAAAGGGCCACAAATGGCGACAATGGCGGTGGGATTGGAGGAGGAGCGAAGGTGAGAAAGTAGAAATGGCGAAATCTTGTAAAGGTCTGGCAATGGAATTGGTCAAGTGTCTCAGCGAATCCGATTGTGTAAAGGTACTTGTTTTCACTTTCTCTTCGGCTTATCCATATGTGCAAATGTGATGATGATCATGTTCGATTTGATGTCTAAATTACGTGATTAATTTGAATATGTACTCCAGTAGATTGATGATCTTGATAAATGCGATAATTGTTGTGAATTCACTATGAGGAACGCGTCGCATCGTAGGAAATTTTCATTGGTATGCGTAAACTCCGTGATTGATCCAAACATATACTCCGGTGGATTTATAACCCTAGCAAGTGCAGAAACTATGCCGAATTATAATGAAGAACTCAGAATAGTTCATTTGTAACCCTAGAAAAATGAACTATTTTGATTATCAGATGCATAAACGATCTATTTTGATTATCCGATGCGCACTATGAACTATTTTGATGATTCAGTTGGCTCTTCATTATAATTGGGCATAATTTCTGAATTTGCCTGAGTTTTTGAGCTACTGGAGCATATGTTTGGATCTATCATGGAGTTAAAATATCCAAATGTACAAGTAGCATTAAGATGATCAATCAAATGAGACCTTAAATCTTTGATTTGGAATATCAGTACTTGAGTAACTCTTTGACTTGATATGTAAGGGTGCATTGGGTACATGGAACATGATAGAAAAAAAACTTGTAGTCTCATGTTTGGGCCGCGTGTAACATTAGACTAGAGCAGGCTGGAACTGGCAGAGACAAATATGCCACTAAAGTAGATGAAACAAAAATTAGGGAATAGAGACAAGACTGGTAAATTACTAAACTACCCATATCAGATTAAAAACCTAAACTTGCACAATTCTTTCACACGCATACCTCCCTCTCGCCCGTCCAGACCTATTTTCTCCACGTACCAAAAGCACCCTAAAGACTACAGAAGAAATAGCAGCAGTTCCTAAGCCAAAAGGGTGCTGTTCTCGAACTAGACGTCTAGATCACATGGAAATCTTATTTCGTAGGTGTTTGGTGTGTGTAGAGGCGGACCCTAAATTTTTTCCAAGTGATGGCACAATTTGACTGAAAAAATATCTATTTTTTTCCTTCACAATATTAGTATAAATTTGTTGGTTGGTTCCTTGTCCTTACATAGAAGGTACCCATGTTCAAGTCCTGTCTACGTATATTTTAAAAAATACAAGAGGCATATAAAAACAACAAATTTGACAACAGTGGGACTCAAACCCAAGCCTTTTGTACAAAGGCAGGAGTGTTTACCATCTCAAACGTTAAAGTTTTGTGTTAACATTTCAGTTTCAAAAACTATATGGTGGCACCCAACAAAACAATATGGTGGCACCCTTTAGAAACAATTTTTCCTCCTTATGTGGGAACCTTGAAGCGGTGGCCCGGGCCAACGTATCATTCCATGTGTGTCCTCCCCTGGGTGTGTGGACCTTGTTTTTGGTAATTTTATATATGGAGACCAATCTGGACTGTAAACTAGATCATGGCTTGGCAGATCCAAGGTAAGTGGTTGAATAATTGTGAAAGGTTTTAGGGTTTTAATATGACAGGGTAGTTTAGGGATTCACCTATCTTGCATTTCACTTTTTGTGTCCCACCTATTTTGGTCGTGGTTGAATAATTGTATTTTTGTCCTACTCAGTCTTGTCATGTTCTAGCCCAATTGGTCGTGCAAATCGTGGGACAACCAACTTTTGTATTGTTTTCTTAGGCGTACACAACACACCCTAATGAGACACTTGTTTTGCAGGTGGAGAATCGGCCTTTTAGAGACTGCGCTAAAGAGAAGACCCCGGTCATTTCTAGTGAATGTGTCGGACTTAGAGAAACATATTTCAATTGCAAGAGAGGCCAGGTATGCCATTTCTTCGTTTGAGCCATCATCTTGCGATGATCTATTAATGGTCTTTTCTTTGAAGTGAAGAAGGCAAATCTTCATACGAGCTACTGAAATTGCTTGAATATTGGTGTCGGGTAAAAGATCTAGATTTGTTAAAAGAATATTAGTACAAAATATAACAACAATAAGAAAAAGGATGGACCAACAAGCATAAAACTATAGAAATACTCCCTCTTACAAGAATCAAATTGTTCTTTGACAAAACCAAACCAAACAAACCCAGTAAATCTCACACAGAGGCAAGCGTGGACCCACATGGATCGATACGGTGGAGCGGGCCACCACTTCATATTTCCGTCATAAGGGGAAAATTTTCGTTTTTGAAGGGTGCCACCGTATTGTTTTGTTGGATGCCACCATATAGTTTTTGAAACTAAAATGTTGACACAAGACTTTGATGGCTAAGATGGTAAATGCTTACAGAAGTCCTAGGTTCGAGTCCCATAGTTGTCAAATTGTTGTTCTTTAGCTTAAATTTTGGTGTCTTTTACATATCCTTTGTGTTTTTTAAAATATATGTAGACCGGACTCGAACATGGGTCTTTTCTACGTAAGGACAAGCAACCAACCAGCAAATCTATACTTATTGTGAAAAAGAAAATTTCAATATTCTTTTTATAGTCAAATTGTGTTACCACTTGAAAAAAAATTGGGTCCACATATGAGCTAAATGACCTTCCTTGAAACTAACTTTATGAGATCTTTAAGTTTGTATGTGGACATGTTGATGAAGGTTATCGAGTTAAAAGTCAAGTTTTAGAAGGTTATGCTCCTAATCATAAACTCGTTTTAGGGCATTTAACCAAAACAAGTAAATTAAACCTTTCAAGAAATATTTGAATAACGCTTTTGAGGGTTGCAGTTCCATCTTATACGAGATTATATTATAACTTATTGACACGATTCATAAACATCACGTTATTGTGTGGGTGCACCCAAACATGATTTGTTGATCGAGAATGATTGTCGTTCTTTGTTTTGGGGGAAAGGGTGTCCCAGGTTATGCCCAGACTAATCCTGACGAAGGCGACTATCAACCTTGATAAACTCTATGGCCACAACCACCTCCCAAATGAGATATTCTACCACATATACCTTGGTCTCAACCACTTTGCCACAACCCATGAACTTCTAAACTTTTATTTCAACTCAGTGACCTTCGACTAACATGCCTCTGTTGTTAAACTGCATGTTTCTGGTCTAAAACAACTTCCCATCATTAAATCTTGAGAAACATTAGAAAGGTTAGTTTGTAGAAACGACTTTCATAGGTCATTTAGTTAAATAGCCCCGGGTTACGGGTTATTTATGTATATACCTTTAAACGACTTTCTGTCCTATTAAAAGAAAAATGGTTTCATAGTCGTTAGAAGGTTATGGATTTAATTAAAATCTCATTTAAGGCTATATATACCTAAATATCTCGATTTTGCATGTATGCATTTGCTCTACCATATGGTTGAATGCAATGCAAATTTAATTCCCTTACCAAGGGCCTTTCGTCTAGCGGTATCTGGGTTACTGGTAGACCCTAACCTTCCAGCAGGTCAGGGTTCAAACCTCACTAAAGATGAGTAGGGTGTGTGAGTTCATTTGCAGTATATAAATATTATATATATACTTCAAAATTTAACACTTCGCGTGTGGCAGGTTGACATGAGAGCTAGGATTCGTGGAAATAAAGGTTACTAATCGGAGTCGCACTGCTTTGTGGCTTGAACGACTTAAAAGTTACTGATCGATATGTTTGTGATGGCAATGCAAGCTGAGTTTAGACAACTGATTGCACTACATTAAAATCTTGAACAATTCTTTGTAACATCATGATGTCAAGATTGTGTAAATGGACTGCAAACCATTTTGGCTGAGATGGTGTTGCTTCTTATATAAGGGGCATAGGCCCAATTAGGTCTGGTTGGTAACTTGCATAAACTAGTGATGGTTCGAGTTTGACCCGCAATGTGGGAGTCATAATTCCGTTACAGATTAAGCTCTATGCACAAAAAGCCTAACCCTGACCCAGAAAAGGCATGGCCGAGTGGGCCCAAAGCTCGATCCTGTTCAGGTTAGACTTCAAAGTCCGACCTGAAAAAGCGTGATTGACCTTGAGTTGGGATTAAAAAGCCAATGCCTTGTTTTCTCATTGATAACCAATTTTGCTTGTGCCTTGTGCATCTTTAAATGGGCTCTTAAGTCTTAAGCTAGCCAACAAATGGGTCATCTGATTTGCATCTTATATGATGTTCTTGGGTGGATACGTGTGGTTAGACAAGAGGTGGATTCTGAATCTCGACGATTTCATTAAGCATTGTTGCTTATTGATCAGTTCAGATTTCATCTGTAGCTAAGTTTTAGGTTTTTGATTTATGATTTAGAGTTTGTTCTTGGGATTCATAAAAAAAAATTAAAGTAAAGAAAACTGGTTTTTAAATTTCAAATTTATTATTTGAATTTTTAAATATGACACGGTATCTTAGATGGTATTAACCTGAGTCACGTCACCGTTAGCAGGTTACCAGATAAAACAGACCCTTAAATAAATGTAAAGTTTGGATCAAACCCTAAAATGACGATTTTTTAAAAATTGGTTTTCCAAAATATGAACTATGTGAAAGTTGGTTCCGTTTTAATGCAATTTCCCCTTATAATTTTAATGAGTTTGATTACTTTCACTAACATCGTTCAAATGCAAGTTGTTGAGTATCCTCATATGATTGTATTTCAATCATTTTTTCTTCGTTATAGACTATTTTTTATATGACCACAATTAATTATTACTAGGCTATTTTTACCAAACAACTGTGGTTTGAAAGGCATAGTTTTTAGTGTGTCTCCACATAGGCCCCCACTAGTCCGGCTAGCTAGTAAGTGGTTCTTTCGGGTGGGAAGCAGGCCAGGTGCTTTCTACATAGCAGGTATGATGGGTGAACCGAACTGAAATGAATAGAACATTCATATCTGGCACTTGGCACTTGAGGAGGTCAATCTTAAGTTGTTGTAGTTCTATTAACAGGATGTACAATTGTTTGGTCTTATAAGTTATTCAATTATATCAAACAAATGTACGTTTTATATAAATAAGTTTAAAAAATCATACGTTTTATTAATAAATCGTAAGCATTTATTTGTTAAAAAATAACCTAATATTAGCTAAATATTTGGTCCTACAAATAAATTTAATATCGTTTAGTCCCTAATGAATAAATTTTCTTTTAATATAATTCTTTTATCGATAAAAAATAATTTATATTATTTTATTAAACAAATTTTACAAAAGTCTTAAAATACTAAATGAACAAGATACCTTTATCTAGGAAACTAGATGGTTCGACCAAAAGCAATTCTTACTTTAACTAAACAGTTATGAACGACTTAACAATTTCAAGTCAAATTGAATCTACCCTTGTGTGATTCCTGTTGAAGCATATACTCGGGGGTGGGTGCAAGGCGGACGATTTTATATATTACCCTTACATCACTTTTTCACCCCTTTTTCTCCTCACATACACTCACTCTTTCACATTGAACCGATTTTTTTAATTATAATTTTAAATTTACACTTTATATCCCTATAATTAGTTAATTAATTTACTTTACGTCTTTTACTTTTAAATGTTTCATTTTAAACTTTTATCAAATTAACATACATCATTTTATATCAATTAAAATATGTTTAAAAAATACATTTTTATTTTAACAAGTTACACCATTATACATCATGTGAAGACCAAGTGTAACCTAATTATAGTTTTTGACTAGTTTTTGACTTAATACATTCGAAATGAGTTCAATATTTAATAGTTTTTGACTTAATTATATTATTATATATTATATATACTGTGAAAAAATATTTTTAATATTTATGATTTATACTTTTATAGTTATTTATTTATATATATATATATATATACTATATATTTTGGGGTTAGGCTGTCCAAATTGCACTGTATAATATGTTCTGAATTAATATGTTCTTGGGTTTTTTTGAAATATATATATACATGTATTAATTCAATCTTAATCTGAGTTTATGGACAAGAAAGAGGGTAGCAGTTGAAATTTCATTCTAAAACCCTTTTTTTTTTGTCTTTTCATTGCTAATGATATGTCAAATTTATAGTTTTTTTTATTGGTTTTGAGTGTTTATCTTAAAACTCAAGTTTCTTGGTTCTTTGTTCTTGGTGTAAATCGAAYAYATTTGTGKWGTCGYTTAAATATGTTGGATTTTAAATATATTGGATTTTAAACTGTCATACAATTTTTTTCATCGATAGTCTGTAATTGGAACCATAACTTTTATTTATTCAAATTGTATTAATATGTAAAGACCAWRTGTAACHTATATCATCGTTAAATCTTATCTTATAAAACCAGTAGAACTTCAAAATGGTTAAAATTCATGGCTCCCGCCGCATTGCACGGGTACACAACTAGTTTTATTGAATTAAAAAGACTAAAATACCAAAAAAGAAATCAAAGAAGGTATTTAATAAACCAAAAAGGGGCTAAATTCGTAGTTTACCCTTTTAACCTTTGGAGCACATGCTCAAACCAATTTGGCACCACCCATGTGGCTTAAAATAACACACTTTTACGTTTTAAGTTATGTGAAATATAGAAAAATAAAAATTTGAGGTTCAAATACAGTGACTCTGGCCTACCCATAAAACAGGTGGTCATTCTGGAATTAGTCAGCTCGCATAGCATGTTGGATATCTACGTTAATTAAAAAAAGTAGCTCTCGTTTTGGTTTCAATCGGTTTTGGACTGGGCTTAACTAAAAACTTGGGTCTTCTTTTAATGGACTAGTTATACGATGGAACCCAACCATAGGTTATTGTAGAGATGGCAAGGATCGGTTATGTTTTATGAAAATTCAAGATCTGGTTTGGGATTAGTTATACATAAATCCGATTTAAAAAAATGAAGTTTTTATAAATTATATAGCAATTTTTTAAAGAATTTTACAAGATTTTCAAGTTCCTTTACCAAAAAGTTCAAGTTTTTTTTATAAATGTTTCAATACTAAATTTCAAATATCAACCACAAGGGTGGTGTCTGATTGGTTTGAGCTTGGTTCCAAAGGTCAAAAGTACCAGGAGGTCTCAGGTTCAAATCCAAGGAGGAAAAGTTCTCTTGCGGCCACGGAGGTTCAAATGCGGTAACTCCGGACTATCTGCAAAGCAGGTGGTCGCCATGGAATTAGTTGGCTCGCATAGCGGATTGGATATCAAGGTTAATAAAAAAAATCAAATATCGTAATTATAAACACAAGGCTGGTGTCTGATTGGTTTGAGCTTGGGCTCCAAAGGTCAAAAGTGCATGGAAGTCTCAGGTTCAAATATAAGGAGGAATAAAAATTCCATTGTGGCCAAGGAGGTTTAAATGCGGTGATTCTCGGCTACCCGCAAAGCAGGTAGTCACCATGGGATTAGTCGGCTCACGTAGTGGGTTGGAATCCAAGTTAATAAAAAAAATTGATTACAAAAACATATTTAATAACCCAATTTAAAGTGTATTTGAATGACCCAATTAGAGATTTTAAAATGTACTTTAATAATATATTGTTCAAAAAAAGAAAATCTTCAAACAAGATTTTTTATTTTATTTAAAATTGATTTTTTGGAAAAAATAAATTTGCGACAGATCTGGTCCAGTATGGGACTGGTTACGATGCGATTGGTTACAATAGGATGATCTCAGACTACGACCGATTTGGACCCAGACCGATTTTTGGCCATGTGTAAGATGTTGCTTAAAGGTTATATATATTCACAGTTCCAGATTATATATTTTCTTTATCTGAATTTGGTTTTCAGTTCTATTTTTTAAACTGGTTCTCAATTCATCTTGGTTTGGAACATGACCTAAGGGGCCGTTTACCAAACGCCAACCCGGGTAAGTGTTTACCGGTAAAATTCAACGTTATCATTTACTTACCTAATATACCTCACATTTTAAACACGCTTGTGAATCAAAGTGTACCATAGTGATAATGTTCACAATGTTTCACGTATATCACAATGTATTTTCTTTGTTTTATAAAATGTATCATAATGTGCATTTTCGTTATTTTCATTGTTTTACAAAGGAAATGACATTGTGCATCTTGTATGTATATATGGGTATCACAGTGAATATCGTTTGTAAGTATCACAGTGCCTATCTAGTGTTCATAAAGGTTCATCGGAATAAGATTGGTCGAATAAGATTTGCCGGAGAGAGGAAAGAGGAGAGATAGGAGATGATATTTATAAAATCCCTAAAGTGCCCTTAATTAATATTTTAAGTTAAAATTACCATAATTATTAATTTCTTAATTTAACCTTTGATTTGTGGTTGCAATTAGATCTCATGGTTACCACAAACAAAACAGTTCTTATTTGATTAAACCCAATTTTATATCTTCTTTTAACTATGAGTATTTGGTACAATTGTACGTACTTCAAAATCTCTTGGACTCGTATAACAGCTACAAAGATCCTCAATAGTCTTTAAAAAAAATACTTAAACTGATCATCTATGAAAAACCCTGTAAAATCAGATCTTTATTGCCAATTTAACTGATATTTTATTCAAAATGTGGACAACATTTTGTTTAATACATAACTAAATAGAAGTTTTTGAAATGTTTTTGGTTAGAAAAAACCATGTACTATATGAATTTATGTCGATGATATAATATTTAATAATAATTTCAATTATAATTTATCAAAAATATATTTATTTTGGGACCCACACAAATATTTATTTGAAATATTGATTCATATAATATCTTAAAAGAATGATTATTATTGTTGTGGGGGCAGTGAGAGAGACGCATACTATAAGAACATTTCTATTTCTAAGCAACAATTTTGCTTTCAAACACAAAACAAATAGATATGCAATGACTCACACACCGTTAGGTTAAAGGCTTTTTGG